AGCCGGCCAGGACACCACAGCCCCAAGCGTCAGTCCTGGGCCGGGATCAGAGGGGCAGGAGCTGATTATAGGTCCCTGGGCCAAACCCAGGGCTTGCCTGCCAGCCCGCTGGGCCCTGCCACCCCCACCCCCAGAACCACAAGTTTGGAGCATCTGGTCCCCGTCAGCACAGTGGGCAGAGGGAGGGGCCTGAGGGGTGTGTTTGGCCCGCAGAGGACAGAGTTGTCTGTGTGTGGTGTGGGGGTGGCGGGGATGGGCTCATCACTGCTCAGGGCCAGTGACTGTCCTTCCAACTCGGGATCACTGGGCCCCACTCACGGGGCCATTGTACAGATGGGGAAACTGAGGCCCAGAGGAACCAGGACCTGCCGGGGTGGGTTGCAAAGCAGCAGAACTCTCCGGCCTCTCCCCTTGGCCGCTGCTTCCCATCTTTCAAGGCCTGGGGCTGTGCCTCCGGGAAGCAGGCCACATCCTGTTGGTGGCAGAGCTGCCCTGCTGGGAAGTCCTCCCTGGAGTCAGACTTTCACCCAAGGCTCCAGGAGCGTGGGATGGTGCACAAATTCCTCTCCTTCTCCCGGGTCCTCGTGGCTGCCTCGTGCCGCCTGTAGCCAGAGAGGCTGGGCAGCTCCTCCCACCCCTCCTGGGGCCTCGGTCCCCTCATCTAAGCAGCTGGGCAGGGACTGGGGGCTCTGGGTCGGGTTCATGTTTATGCGCACCCAGCACGGCGTGGTGAGTGCACATCCGTGTGGGTACACGCGTGTGCCCTGGTGGGTGAGCTGCCGCCCACGGGCCTGCCCCCGCCCAAATGGGGTCCCCGGGACCTGCTGCACAGCCACATTTGACCTACTTCTAAGGCTCTGGGTCTGGCCCAGGCCGCGTTCTTGACTCCTCCGGGAAGTTTGGGCCCGCGGCCCAGCCCAGGGGCCGCGGGCCAGGAGAGGCGGTCCTGGGCGGGCCGGGGCGGCCTGCGGAGCCTGCGGCCTGGGGGACAGGGCACGTGGGGAGCCCGACCCTCCTTCCCTGCCTCTGGTTTCTGGGCCCCGGGGACAGCCAGGCCTTACCCATCCCTCCCTCTCCCCACTCTGCACTGCTCCCTACATGTGGCCACCATATTCTGAGCTCACTAATGGGCTGTGACAGGATGAGGGACATTCCTCAAGCCCCTCTGAACACTGGCGGGAAGGTCTGCCAAGCTCTCCCCCTCTGCTGTTCGCCAGGAGTTGACCCCTCCCTAGCCCTGCCCTTGTCTACACCGGGCAGCAGGCAGGGCCCATCTGGAAAACCAGTGGCCCCTTTCGTGGGTCTGGGTTCTGGGGTCTAGGTTTGGGTTTACGGGTTTAGAGTCTGGGTTTCGAGTACCTGGGTCCTGGGTATTGAGTCTTGGATCTTGACTCTGGCTTCAGAGTCTTGAGTCCTTGACCTGGGCTCTGGGGTCTGGGTGGCAGGTCTGGGTTGGACACCCTGAGTTTTGGGGTCTGGGTCCTCAGAGTAGGGTCTGATTGTGGGCTCAGGGTTTCAGGATCTATGTTTGGTCAGATCCTGAGGCCTGAGTCTGGGGTCTGGGTTTGGCGTTCTAGGCTCCAGATTTGGAGTCGTGGGTCTGAGTTGGGATCCTGGGTTCCGGGGTTTGGGCTCAGGATCCAAAGACCAGTTCCTGTCCCTTCTACGCCCCCTGCTGGCTGGTCATCACGGTCCGGTCACTGCCTGTACCTTCCGACCATCCCCACAGCTTCAGGCTCTTGAGGGGAGTCTCAGAATGGATGGGAGTGTCTTGAAGAGCAGGCCTGAGCTGAGGGGGTGGCAGGTGGGTTGAGGGGCAGCTGCTGGCTGCACTGCTGTTCGGGGCGCTCCCAGCAGACACCAGAACTGTCGCTCCATCAGCAAATCTCCCCTGGCCCTACTCCAGGGATGGGGTGTGGCCAAGGTTTCCAGTCTTCCTGTGAGAGGTCGGTAAATTGAGATGTTTGGGACATTGGCTCATCCAGCATTTATGGAGTGTCTACTGTGTACAGCAGGCTCTGTTCTAGACCCTGTGGATATATAGCCCTGGAAGACCAAAAATTCTTCCTATGCCAACTGACATTCAAGGGAAGGGGCACCCATAAGAAACAAGGGAACGGCCTCTTATTAGGATGCAAGAATGGGGGGTCAGGGTGAGAGAAAAGGCAGGTGGAGCTGGCCCAGAGTAGTCTGAAGAGGCTGCTAAGTGGAGGTGATATCTCACTGGACCTGGAGGTGACAAGGAGCAAGCCATGGCTAGGGTCCTAAACGAGGATGCCAGGAAGAGGAAAGAGCAAAGGCGTGGGGGCTGGAAAGAACTAGGAAGGAGGGCAGTGTGGGTCTCCTGCCTCTCTCCGTGGACCCTTCAGAAGTCGGGGTCCGTGTGTTCCTCAGCTGCAGGGCTGGGGTGGGGGAAGTAAGGTGGCTGCCCCCAGAGAGGGCTCTGGAATGTGCCATCTGCATTGGATGGGCTACAGCTCAGACACTGGAGCTGGGGGAGTCAAAGGAGAGGGATCCAGACTCCCTCTCTTCCCGCAGGCTCTGCCAGGATCTTGTCTGCTGGGCTGTCATTCCTGAAGGGCATGGCGCCCAGGCTGGGGCTTGGGAGAGAGACGTGAGGGCCCAGCCTCGTGTGGCTTGTCTTTTCTCTCCGTACCCGTCTCTCCCTGTCACAAAGCCCCCGCCCCTGCTCACCTACCTGCCCACCGCCCACCTGCCCGCCCCGCTTTCCTCCTGTCCTCCACAGTCCATCTTGCTGGAAGTCAAGGGGGCTGATCCCTGCAGAATCCCTGCTGGGGGCTGGGCATTAGTAATGGGTTGAGAGTGGCCCTGTTGGGAGAGTCTGGGCACCGCTGCTCCCAGGAACCAGAGCTCTGACAGTCAAAGGCCCGGGTCCGACCTCCATCTGAGTCCTGGGGAGGGAGTGGAGGATGGCTCTGCACATGATCTCCCCACTGCAGGACTGTATCTGCTCTGTGCTTGAGGGAAGGGGACCAAGAGCCCCCTTCCCCGACCCCGCCACCAGGCAGAGGAAGGCGGTTCTCTGTGGCTCTGGTGGGCTGCCTGAGTCTGTGCACCCCATCACAGACCTGGGACCCAAGCCTCAAGGAGGCTCATGTCACTCATTTACTCCCGTGCTCGCTGGCGTTGAGTGGTTTCTGGGGGATGGCAGTTGTGCACAGATGGATCAATGAGCTTGGGGGTCTGGGCACCCCTGTGTATGTCCGCCATGTTTCCCCCACGATGAATGAAAGGGGTTGGGTAGGGTCTTGTTGGCTGTGCCAGTGGGTGGCTGGAGCCCCCGCAGGACGTCCAGAGTCAGTTGTCCTGAGGTCAGCAGGGAGATCTCTCTCTGTGTGTCCCCCCGTCTGTCTTCTCCTCTTGTGGTATTTCTGACTGGTCTCTGAGGACCCTCCCCCACCCCTTTCTTTCTCAATACTCTTGCCAAACATCTGGAAGAAAAGTGAAAAACTTGCCTCTCCCCCAGCGCCGGATGTTGTCAGATTTCCAGATGTGGGGTGTTCTGCCCTCCAGATGAGGGGAGGACTGTCCTGTGTTCCAGCAAGGAGGGGACCTGGCCCCACCCCTGGACTGCTGTCCCCCCCTCACCAGGAGCCTGAGTGACGGGATGAGAGGGGACCTGGGCTCCGCAGGAAGACCTGGGGGCACCCAGGTAGAGTGAAGCCTCCCCCTCCAGCTCCACCCTCAGCGCTTCCTTACACCCGGGAAATCCCCGGGGGCCTCGGGGGGTGGAGCAATGCCTCTGAAGTTTCTATCAAAGGCTCCAGGCATTTAAAAATAACAGGGAACACCTCCTTCCCGCCTCCCCACCCCCTCCACCACCCCAGCACAGACTCCGGGCAAGGAACGGAGCCCAATGTGTTTGCAAGATGTCCCAGCGCTCCGAGCTCTGTGCCTGGAAGGGCTTCCTGCTACCTCCGCCCTCCCATCTCCCCCAAGGGTCACCCAGCCAGGCTGCCCAATGTCACCGCCATCCGCTGAGGGCTAGCACTTCAAGGTAGTACTAGGGGGTAGGACAAGGTGGGGCACCCCTCCCAGGCCCTTGGGGTCATTCAGAGACACAGACCCTCTCAGGGCCCCAGCTAAAAGGTTGGCAGAGGGCAGTCTGGGGCGGTGGGACCGGGAGGGTGCAGTGGGGCCATGCCTTGACTGTGCCAACCAGAGGAGGGGTGAAACAGAGGGTATACGGTGTGTGAACAAGGATCTGGTGGGGAGCAGGCCCTGAGGTGTGTGGGGAAAGGGGGTCATTGAAGAGGGGCTGTAGGAAGCGAGGGAGAAACCAAGATGCTGACCTCGGGGCCTGGCAGGTGCCGAGGCACAAGGTGGTGGATGTTGTTGGGTTGCTGAACCGGGCTGGGTGACGGCCCTCGAGGGAGCAGACCCCATTTTATTGCCATTTAGGGTATTCCCAGAGACGGGGGCTGCAGCTGCCAGTGAGCCAGACGCTCACACAGACACAATAAACACCCAACCCAAACACACAGAAGCAACGCTCACGGACCAGAATGGGCCCGACAGAGACACGGACCCTCTTACCAGAGATCCGCAGAGACCCTCCCCGCTGCATGCAAACACCCAGACAAACAGACAACGCACATGGACAGAGGCGGCCCTCCCTCTCCGCCTCTGTGTAGACACAGGGACTTCGAGGTGCAGATGGGAAGTGTAACCCAAGGGGTGCCCTTAGGTAATTCCCGTCCTTCGGCCCCCAGCACAACACCCAACATGCCCTGGGTCCATCCTTCCACACCTGTTCGGTTTATGACCTCCCGAGGGACAGCAGGCCCTTATGTGTGTGTGCGTGTGTATGCTTTTTGGGGTATGCATGAGCAGTGGCCTCTGTCTGCCCCTCCCCCTTCTCTCCTCAACAGGTGACTGGGAGGCCTGGAGAGCCCTCCCTCTCCCCCACCCATTCCTGAGCTTGAACAATGCCCTCCCCAGGCCCCAAAATAGCCCCTGAGTCTATCCAGTGTCCTTTTATGGCCCTGTCCGCATTGTGCCCTGCAGGGGTGGGGCCGGGGTCATGAGGTGTCCAGGCGTGATAAAGGCCGGTTGCAGGAGGCTCACCTACCCTGCTCTCGGCTTCCTCCTCTCCACCCCTGCCTCTGTGCTCACAGGCTCCATGGCTCCCAAAAAGCCAGATCCCAAGAAGGATGAGGCCAAGGCAGGTGCCAAAGCAGCTGCAGCTCCAGCTCCCGCACCTGCACCTGCACCTGCACCTGAGCCCTCCAAGGAAGCTGAGTTTGATCCCTCCAAAGTCAAGGTGGGTGTGGAGGCTGTGTTTTAGGTAGGAAGGGAAGGGTAGGTAAGTGAATCCCAGAGTGGACCTACCCAGTGGAAGAGTGGGCTCCAGAGAAAGTGAGTACTGAGCTCTAGTTGGAAGCTTCAGCATCAGGAGGGCTGCAGCAGGAGAGACGGTGGTCAGACAGCAGGCAGGACTGCCCCAGTGTTGCTGAAGGGGCTGTCTTTTTGGTGGTTGGAAACTGACTCTCCCCAGTCCTTCTCCTTGGACCTCACATCCTTGGGGAATCCTGGGCCCGCCAGTGTCCCCCACCCCCGCAGCCAGGCAGGGACTTTTCTTGTCGCACTGTGGGGTTTTAAGTCCATGCCAAGTCCCCCAGGGGAAGACGGGGTGGGGAGCAAAGAGAAGCCAGGCTCCTGCCCAGGCTGGGTCACAGTCACCCCCGCCAAGGTCCCTGAGCCCCAGAGCTGGTGGGGCCTCCGCTTTGAGGTGGCGACGCTGAGCCATAGTCTGGGTAGGTCATGGAGAAAGTTGGTCATGGAGCTGTGACCAGTGGCCCCAGGAGCCCTTCCCCAGATTGGCTCGGAAGTCTTTCTCAGAGTCTAAACTTGGAGAATGCGCCGTGACTGCCACCTGTGGCATCCACATAGTGGCACGCACCCTGGTCCCGTCTGCGTCTGTTCTTGGCTGGCCACCGGCCACCGCTGCCCTGGCTGCTGGCAAAGGGGCCCCGTCCCAGCCCTTCAAGGTCCCCAGCAAGACTGCAGCTGGTCCTCACAGATCCACCTCCGCTTCCCAGATGGCGCCAGTGGTAAAGAACCTGCCTGCCAATGCAGGAGACACAAGAGACTCAGATTCGATCCCTGGGTCAGGAAGATCCCCTGGAGGAGGGCATGGCGACCCACTCCAGTATTTTTGTCTGGAGAATCCCATGGACAGAGGAGCTTGGTGGGCAGTCCACGAGGTTGCACAGAGTCGAACACGACTGAAGTGACTTAACGCAGCACACAGGTTCAAATCCTAAATCTGTTCCACTGCCGTCTCTGCTCTAAGGCTTGGTTTCTTCAGCTGTGAAATGGGATAATAAGCCCTCCTCACAGGCTGTTGGGAACGATTCACAGCAAGTGCTCCCTGGAGTCGGCCCCCACACCGACCACCCTCAGACCCCTAGTGTGTATCCCACAGGCAGAGGGTTGGACAATCCCGGGGCCCGTGGTGGCTTTGTGTGTTCTCCCTGGATCTGAGGTTGCAGATTCGCCCCTGAGCAGAGGAACTCAGGAGGTCTCTCCTGGGAACCCTGCAGAAAGCCATGTCAGGAGCTCAGGGCACCTAATCTCGGCGTGCTTCCTGGTGGAGGGAGCTCTCAGGTGGCCAGAGACAACTTGGTCGGGTCTTCCCAACACAAGGTTGAGCTGGAGGGCTGGGAGGGGCAGCCTGGCAGGGTGGCTGGGGCAGGATTCTGCTCTGCACTGGGGTGCACCGAGGTGGGGACTCCAAGGGAGCCGCAGTGGGCGAGGTGCCAGTCAAGTCCCCCTCCCCCAATCTCCTTTCCCTGGTGCGCCCTTGACCTTGGACTGAGTGACTGCAGTGATAAAAATAGACCTGGTATCGAGTGAGGAGGGGGAAACCGGGTCCCAGGAGGCCTCCTGACCTCAGGTGCCCCTGCCATGGTCTTGCAAACACTTAACAGCTCAGGGCCTGGCTGCCTGCTGTGCCATGCTGGGGGCTGCCCTGGGCTTGCAGATGGGGGTGTGTGAGACTCAGGTGTAGGCAGGGCCAGGTGAGCGACAGTGCCCAGCCTTACACATGCAGACAGGTGCACACACAGGTGTGTGAATGCACATGTTCATCACACACACCCCTCCTGTAGATGAGCTCTTAAGTTGCAGGGCTCTCTGGCCTGTACCCTCAGCCCAGCCTCTCCTGCCACCTGCCACCCCCTCCCAGAGAGATGAGGCGCCCCCATCTCATATAGACAGGCTTGCCCACTGGGCCCCAGGCCCAACAGAGCTGGCAAAGCCAGTGCAGTTAGATCTTGTTGCTTTAGGCATGTCTGTCCAGGACTGGGGGTCTCAGGTAAGGCCTACCCTGGGTTGGAGATTCAGGGCACAAGGCTTCCCTCCGCATCACTTCCCCAGATGAGGCCTAACTGGTGTCAGGTCTGGGTACGCACAGACCCAAGGCCGTCAGGTAGGATAGGTGAGGAGGGGTAAGGAGGTGGGGGGTGGGAGTCAAGGTGGATGGCAGGAGGTCCTGGGCGGTGGAAGCTGGGATCCTGAATTGCAGACAGGTTGGGGCAACCGAGGGGTTGAGGTCCAGCTGGCCACGGAGTGGAGTGACCAGGAGGAGACCTGGCCCCATCCTCTGAACCCGGCACTCAGAATTTGGGGGGTCTCCTTTCAGATCGAGTTCACTCCAGAGCAGATTGAAGGTGAGTGGTTGGGGGGGGCTGCGTCTTGAGCCCCGGAGCTGCGGGGCTGGGTCCAGGGTCCCCAGGCTGAGAGTCCTGCTGGCAGTGTGGGTTCTGGGTGGAATGGGGTGGGCTGCCTCTGGAAGTGTCCACAGCTCACGCCCCCTCCTGGCAGAGTTCAAGGAAGCCTTCATGCTGTTCGATCGCACGCCCAAGTGCGAGATGAAGATCACGTACGGGCAGTGTGGGGACGTGCTGCGGGCTCTGGGCCAGAATCCGACACAGGCTGAGGTGCTCCGCGTCCTGGGGAAGCCAAAGCAGGAAGGTGGGTGCGCTCAGCCTGAGATGTCCCCATTAGTGCCAGTCCCTGGGGGAGAACTCCATCGCTGGGTGGGGCGGGGGGACAGCATGGGAGTCTCCCTGCTGTGCACTCCTCTGACACCCTCCCGTTCTCTGGAGGAGGACCTGGAGCCCAGCCTCAGGGGATGCTCACAAGCAGCGATGGCTCCTGTATCACCTGGCCGCATGCCGATTAGCCAGGCTTCCTGGTCATAAGGGACTGACAACAGCGCAAACCAGCTCCAGTGGAGGTGTGAGACCTGGCTTGGGTCTCCCACCTGCTCGCCCTGTCCCTCCTGGCCCCCTGGGCATCCCTCAGGGGGGCAGGGCCAGCTGCCTTCACCGCCTTGGGCAGAGATGGTTGCCCACTCTGCCCCAAGGAAGACTGAGACCCAAGCCCCCGCTGCAGGGACAGAAGCCCCAGAGAAGGTCTCTGAACTGCCCAGCTGCTCTTGACCCACCCCAGGTGGCAGGGAGAGTGGAGTCTGTAAGAAAAATAATGAGGTGCTAGGAAGAACTGATCCCCCAAAGGAGAACAGAGGGGCTAGACACCCACGGTGGTGCCGCTGTCCGTATGAACCGCAGAGGACCATGTCAGTCATGCATTTCTTAGCTGACTCAAGTGCCTGGTGCCGGGGGAGCGCTTGGTAAATGGCAAACTGGTGTAGAGTGCGCTGGGGAGCTGGGCGAAGGCAACAGGTCCTCACTGTCAGACTTGGCGAGGGGGCTGCCCGCTCGCCCCTCAGAGCCAGGTGCTCGGCCATCTCTCCACAGAGCTCAACTCCAAGATGATGGACTTTGACACGTTCCTGCCCATGCTCCAGCACATCTCCAAGAACAAGGACACTGGCACCTATGAGGACTTCGTGGAGGGGCTGCGGGTCTTTGACAAGGAGGGCAATGGCACGGTCATGGGCGCCGAGCTCCGCCACGTGCTGGCCACGCTGGGTGAGGGCGGCCGCCTCCCCACTCCCAGCCTGCCTGCTGGGGACATCTGGGAGAAAGCACGCTGTCCCCCGCCTAGTTCTCCCTTGCGAAATGGAGGGTGATGCCATCAAGGTGCCTCCACGGCCGGAGACCTAGCAAATCTATGCGGGGAATTTAGAAATTTAGATGGGGGAAAAAGAAAGCCAGTGGGTGCAGCTCACAGAACTGGAAGGGCTCTGGGGATGGGGCGGGGCAGGGTGGCGCACCCAAGGAGGGTCAATCAATCCAGTCCTGGTGTTTGTTGCCTCAAGGTCATTCCAGAGCAGAGAAGGTACTGTGCCTGGCTCTTGGGCATCCTGACTCCCACCGTCAGGGGCCTGGCTGGCAGGAATGTCCCCTTTTCAAAGAGCATTTTTCCTACAGCAAATATTCATTGAGCTCATATTCTGTCTGCTCACAGCGATCCTTCCTGCGTCAAATATTTATTGAGTGCCTAGTGTGTGATCAGCGCTGTGCTGAGGTTGTGTGTGTGTGTGTGTGGCTGGGGCAGGTAGGATGTGTGAGGGAAACAGCAGTGGGCGTTCCAGTGGGGGGACCTGCACAGCACACAAAAGCGCAGAGTCAGGAAAGGGAAGGGCCAGCCTTGTCTGGGGAGCACTGGTGGTGTTTCTAGGTCTCCTCCATGGTCATCCCCAAGGTCCCCAGCTCTATCCTGCACATCTTTCCTGGTCTCCTCTCGATGGAGGGAGACCTGCCAGCCTATTGAGCACAGGGGGCAGTCTGTGCCGGTGACCTGAACACCAAGATGGCACTGTTATGGATGGAGTCTAGGCTCAGAGCGGGCACCAGGTTTGCACCCCAGGCTTTGTTCATTTTGACTTGTCACTGATTCTCCTGGTTTCAGAACTGAGGGGTGACAGCCCAGGCTTTGGGGTGTACCAATTTGAGGCATGCGGCATACTGGAGAGGCACCCTCACCATCCAGAGGCAGTCGGGGGGTCCCCCAACCCTTCACACCTCGACAGTGCTGACTCAGCTTTCCACTCCCGCCAGGTGAGAGGCTGACGGAAGACGAGGTGGAGAAGCTGATGGCGGGGCAGGAAGACTCCAATGGCTGCATCAACTATGAAGGTAGACTCAGCAGGCAGGGAGTCTGCTGGGGGGAGGCGCTGGGGTCCTAGGGCCCCTCCCTTGGCTATCCAGGGCCGAACCCTGCGGCTCACTCTGTCCTTCTTTCCAGCGTTTGTCAAGCACATCATGGCCAGCTGAACCTCTCGCCCCAGGTGAGACCCCCCTACTCCCTTCCAAACCTGTGACCACCTTTGCCACCTCTGCTGATGTCGGTCCTGTGGTTCGCCCCTCCCGCCTCTTTCATCCAGCTTCCCTGTTGCCCCCTCCCCAGCCCCAGCAACGCCAGTCCTCAGCTGACATCCTGCTGCCTGGCTGCCCTCTCCGCTGTAACCTGTGACCACCTTTGTTCTCAGGGAGCCCCGGGGGAGGCGGCGCTGGGGGCAGCTCGTCTTCTATTTGTGATGTGGGCACCAGAGGCTTGGAGTTGGGAAGGGCCAGAGGGGAGCACATGGCTCTCTCTGCACAACCCTGCAGACCGGCCGTCATCACTGCCATCAGGCTACGTCGGCCAGTGACTGCATCGCTGTCTCCACTCCTTGGGCCTCATGAATAAATGGCTTCTTTACTTCCTCCTCCTACCTTCCTTGCTTCCTTCTTCCTTTCTTTCTCTCCTTCCTTCCTTCTTTTTTCCTTTTTTTCCCTGGCAGTGCTGGGACATCATGGCAGCACATGCTTAGTTGCCCCACAGCATGTGGGATCTTAGTTCCCTGACCAGGGATCGAACCCGCGTCCCTTGCATTAGAAGGCAGACTCTTAAATCAAAGAACCACCAGGGAAGTCCCCGCCCTCCCCCTCCCGACTTCTTTCTTCTCTGTGGCCCTTTGGTTGACTTTTGTAAAAATCTACAAGCCACACAGGGTGAGCTCTGGACAAAACAGGGGGAAATCATTTCAAAATCTTGCCTCCTGGCTTGTCCCATTGAAACGGTGCCATCTGGTGTGCCAAACCCCCAGCGCCTGCCCACCAGGACGCCAGGCTAAGCTGGATGAGGACTGCCTCCCCTCCACCCCCCACTTCTGGAGATGGCAGCCATGCCTGGCCTCTAACACGAGGATGCCCCAGCAGCTTGAGAGCCCTGTCCAGGCTAAATAACCTCACGACCAGCCATCAGGGAACTGCGGGGTGCTGGGCCAGAGCCACCCCGTCATAGGTGGGGAAACCAAGGCCCCGAGCGGAGAATGGCTTTGCCTGAGTCACACCGGGAACGGGTGGTGGGGGAGGAGCCAATATTTTCCCCAGGCTGTCATGGTCGAGGAGGCCTTAGACCACCCCCAGACATGGATGGGCAGTTGAGGTTCTCTGCTTGTGCTGTGATTCTCGGCCAGAGGGGCAGCAGCCGGGGACCACCAGTTCCTTAGCCCTGGGCATCTCAGCAGAAGACAAGTACGCAACCCCTGTAATGACAACAGGGGGTTATACGCCCCCCCACCAGTGCCAGACCCACTGCCACCCCCTGTCCTGGGGTGAGGCCCTCCCTTCCTTTCAGAGCCCAGTGAGATGGGTGACGGGAGGCTTCCTGGAGGAGGTGATCTACTCTGACTTGATGGGGAAGAAGAGCAGTGCACTGCAGGGAGGTTTGGGGGGCCCTAGAGATAAGAGGTGTGGGGGACATCAAGGGCCCAGAGTGGGGAGGGCGGGTCACACAGGGCAGGAAACAGCCTGCAGGCCAGGAGGACTCAGGAGGTCAGGGCAGTCCTCCTAGGGTGCAGGTGGACGTGAGCGCGCCTGCCTGTGAGGTGAGTGTGAGGGCGTGTGAGAGCGGGTGAGAGGGCTTGCACGGATCAGGCTGCCTGGGGGGATTGGTGTGGTATGGGGAGAATGGCAGGATTCTGCATGCGAGAGTATGTGTATGCGGGCATGTGTGGCGAGTGTTGGCAGTATGTGTGAAAGTCTGTGAGGGGCTGTGAGTGTGTGTGTAGGAGTCTGTTTCGCCTTCCCTTCATCCTTTCAGCATTTATTGAGCACCTACTGTATGCCTTTAGGCCCTGGGAACACTGCGGTTGGAGGAAGCAGTCAAACCCTCCACTTTGTTGGCGCTCATACAAACCTGACAAATCACCAAGCCATAAAGTGTATCAGCCAGTGATCGAGGCTGGGCAGGGACCCAAAGCAGGGAAGAGGCTGTGCGGTGTGTGTGCTCAGGGTGTGCATGTGAGTGTCTGTGTTGGGAGGAGGTTGGCCTGTTAAACAATCAGATCAGGGATTATCTGAGAAGGCAATGGTTGGGCAAAGACTGAAAAGAGAAGAGTAAATATCCTGAATATATAAAGGATTTCTACAATTCAGTAACAACAAAATGAACAAGCCAATTCAAACATGGGCAAAGAGCTTGAATAGACATTTCTTTAAATGAGATTGGATGCTTTTAGGGTGATATAGCCATTGAACCGAACAGACGTTTCTTTGAAGAAGATATACAAATGGACAGTAAGCACGTGAAAAGATGCTCAACATCACTGATTAGGGAAATGCAAATCAAAACCACGATGAGATACAACCTCACACCCGTTAGGATGGTTATTATCCAGAAAACAGAAAGTAACAAGTGTTGGCAAGAAGGGAGAGAAATTGGAATCCTTGGGCACTCTGGGTGGGAATATAAAATGGTGCAGCTGCTGTGGAAAAAGTATGCAGTCTTCAAAAAATTAAAAACATAATTACCATATGACCCAGAAATTCCACTTCTGGGTATATAGCCAAAAGAATTGAAAGCAGGGACTTGAAGAGGTATTTGTAAACTCCTGTTCACAGCAGCACTATTCACAATAGCTGAAAGGTGGAAACAACCCCAGTGGCCATCAACGGATGAATGCATAAACAAAGTGTGGCTGGTCCATACATACAGTGGAATATTATTCTGACTTAAAAATGAAGGAAATTCGGACACAGGCCACAGTGTGGATGAACTTTGAGGATATTATGCTAAGTAAAAGAAGCCAGACACAGAAGGACAAATACAGCACCATCCCCCTCCAAGGAGGTTTCTAGAATTCATAGAGACAGAGGATAGAATGGTGGTTGCCGGGGGTTGCGGGGAAGGAGGAATGGGGAAGCGTTGTGGAAGACAAGAAAAACAAGAGAGGTGAGATGGTGTTGTCTTAGGCTGCGCTTTCCCAGCAGCAGAGGTGAGACAAGGACTTGAATACAAGTAGTGTTCCTGGGAGGTAGCCTCAGGGAGCAGGAGAAAGCCTCCGGGCAGGGAAGAAATTCCCCTGGGCATATGAGAGCAGATCATCTTGGGGGTTCAGCCCTGGTGGGACCTCCAGGAGATGGTGGTGGTGTCCCACTGAGGGGATGCGGGAACCAGACCACTTATTCACCAGCTTCCACCTTTGCTGGTTGGGGTGGCGCCCCAGAGGTAGGCTGGCACAGCCGCATGGGGCGCTATTTCAGCGTCTGCTCCAGGGAGCCATGAGAGCATCAGAGGGAAGAGACATTCCAGCGGAGACGGGAGCAGAGAGTGTGGTGGGGCGGCGACAGGATGCAGAGGAGGGTCCTTGGGCTGTGGGAAGGGCTTTGGCGTGTGCTCTGGGGAGATGTTCTAGCAGCTGCTGTGTGGAGCATAGACTGGCAGATAGGAGCTGAAGCAGGGACCCCAGGTAGGAGGGTCCAGGAGAGATAAGAGACACGCTTGGTCCAGCGAATATGGTGCAAAGTGACCAGATTCCAGGTTATTTTTGAAAACACTCTCAGCAACACCTTGGGCAGATTTTGAGGCTTTCTTCTTCCTTCCATTATCTAAAAAGAGTCCAGTCCAGCCCCGGATTTGGTGTGGGGTGGGGAGCGTGGTCTGCCGTTGCATGGAGCACAGTCCGGCTGGCTGGTGGGGCAGGAAGCAGAGGCTCCAGTGGGGGTGTCCACGTGCGCGTGTGACTCTGCTGGACTCTGGCTAGCCTCCCTGGCCAATGGATGGTTGAGGACCTCCACAGACGACAGCAGGGTCTCCTTTTGGCCCCAGTCAGGGAAGAGAGCCCACTGATTGGTTGATATCCTTCTGGGCAGACCCCAGCTCCTGTCTGTTCTAGCCACCTTGCTCTCGGACGTCAAGTCCACGAACAGCTGAGATCCCCTTCAAAGGTCTTCAGGGGCAGCCTGGGTGCATGGTCCCAGTTTCTTCTTTCCGGGGATACCCGCCCTGGGCTGAGTCCCATCAGCAGGGATCACACCTGCTGTCACCATTCCCAGGCAGGAAGCCGTCCTGCCTCCAAGTTTCCAAGGGTGCGGGATCTCAGGGGATGTGTGTTCTGCTCTCCCGAGAAAGCCCGCCTCTCTTCTGGTTTCCAGAATGGTTCTGTTGGGCCCCAAGCCTTCTCCCAAACACACCCTCCGTCTGGTAGGCTCCCCTAATTCCTGGGAGTTACTACCCTACTTGGCTTGGCCTGGAGATGAAGGGAATACCCCACACATTCTACAGGACGCTTTGGAGCCCCCACTCACCAGTCTTCCAGCGTGGACACAAAGTGGACAGGCTGCAGGGCGCTGGCAGAGGCAGAGTTGGGGCTGTAGTGTCTGCTGAGCCTTGCCTGGGATGGTTTGGTGCCCTCTTGTTGGGGCTCTACTCCACTAGGAATGTCTCTGTCCCACTCATGGCCGAGGTGCCACTCTGGGGGCATTCTGCCTGTTGTATGTGGCTGTGCTGACCCCGTGTGGGTTTGGGTCACTGACTGTGGGTCTGAGTGTCAGAGTTCAGGGGGCCTGGAGGGTGGAACTCAGCTGTGGGGGTGAGGCTTCTCCTCGCTCAGCAGCCTCCCACCTGCCATGGCTGGGCGACAGGCATGAGCGTTTCTGTGTGTCCCTGTGTCCGTGTGTGCGTGCGTCCACAAGTGTGCCCGCCTGCTTGTGTCTGTGTGTCTGTGAGTGTGTGTGCATACCTGCAGATGCAGGTGCCCATGTGTCTGCGCATATGCACGTGTGTGTTTACCTCTGCGTATGTGTGTGTGTCTGTTTGTGTGCATGGCTGGGTGTGTACGTGCTGGGGGGCTCTGCTGAGTCAGTGCTTGTGTTGGGCGGGCAGCACTCCCTGCCAGGCTGTGGCCTCCCCACAGTTGCATAAACACTGGTCCCAGCTCCCCCCTCAAGCAGGGTGGTCCAGCCAGTGTCCCTGCAGCCGGTGGGAAGGGATGGGTGGGTGGCAAAGGGCTTGCCCTTGGATCAGCCTGGTCTCCTTCATGCCTCAGGTGCCAGGTCATGTGCCCCATTTAGTTGGAATGTGGTCTGGGGTCTCTCGAGGCCTTTCTTCCCCCATCTGGTCTGGGGCCTTATCTCTGAGGTCTCTGTGAGGAGACAGGAATATTCACCACTCCAGTCCTGGTCTAGGCAGAACCAGATGGTGAGTGGGGCAATCAGGGGACTGGGGAACCAGGGGCAGAATTCAACCTCAGGACCCCAGAGCTAAGCAGCCCTCTCTGCACTGAGGTCTCAGCTCAGCTCAGCTCTCCGGGGCGCTTGGCAGCCTGCCATGGCTTGCATTTTCTAGTCAGACACCATCTGTAAGGATCTGGGGGCCACCACCAGGATGTGGGGCAGATAGCACTGAATGAGGGCCCAAAAAGATCAGAAATTCAGGCCGGGGCAGAAT